GCTTCGGTAATACCTCAACTCGATAATACTTCGTAATGCAGTTACTGGCTCCACCTGTTTGTGTTTATTAGGTCTTATCTCTCAACAGAATATTACATTTCTACTGTAACTATGCGCTAAATGAAAACAAAAAAAAAATTATTCAACAGTGCAAAATTGCGAGGCTGCCAGATAATTCGCAACTGTTTAAAGATTCACGGCTGAAAAACACGAGCCAATCTTCTAACACTTTTTCACAATGATCGCCTTCCTCCGCGATTGCGCGACGTAGTTTTCTTTTGCTTCCAATTCTGCGCAAAAATAACTGCACGTTCGTCAGGCAATTCGCGCAATGAGATCGAAAGAACATCGTCGACCGGCAACGCGAATCGCGTGAGTACTCACTCACTTACATTAGATACGTTCGTGTCACTCTCGAGGACCTTATGTAATGGCGTCGCGTTTATATAGACGGCACTTAAGCCGACGATGAAATGCCTTAACGGGATCCGGTTTCAATTGAAGCGACGAATTAATCTTAATGAAGTCTGGCGGTAACAAGCGTCGGGGATCGACGCGTGCCTCTACGTCCACGAGCACACAATGGTCGACGATCCAAGCATTCCGAACGTTAACAGTTACGAAACTCAAGAGAGCCGCCCCCGAGAGGCTTTCTAATTTCGATAGATCTGCGATCCGCGATCGATGTAGCCGCAGGATTATTTCAAGTGTCGTTGTATTAATTGCAGAACCAAGCTCGCGGGATCCGATGGTGGAATCGACGACCAGCGGAAGCAGCAGTGACACAAACGGGCCCGTTTGTGCACAGCTCTTGACACAGCTGAACACAGCCTATCAGCATCTGGCGCCCGATGCCCAAGCTCTGGTAAGCATTCGACGACAGATTGCTGTTAAGTTGCGTGATTGTAACTTGCACCTGGGAAATCGAACGCGCTGCATCGCGAAATAAACCTGCTGGCATATATATGCGAAATGCACAGACACAGAGATCGTTGGACGTTGGGTGCCAATTGTTTCAGTTCTAAACGATACACCAAAAATGGGTGTTTCGACATGGTTCGTTTCGGGGAATTGAGAATTATTTCAAGAAAGATATTGTATTAAAAAAAAAAAAAATATATATATATATATATTTTTTTTTTAAGAATTGTATCATTATTTATTTGAACAATACAAATGTTGCAATATCTTCGGATTTTAATTCAAAGTTGGATCTTAAATCCTCTATTCAGAGTTTGTATTTTATTACAGATGTGTTCATTACTAGAATTCTTATCGTTTCATTGAATTTCAACTATTTTTATTAATGGAATTATCATCAATTTTTAAAATGTCCTTTGATT